CATCACCAGAAACAGCAGCTTTACAGGTAACACAATGGCACTAAATTCATATCTTTCAATAATCACTCTGAATGTAAATAGACTAAATGCTCCAATCAAAAGACAAAATATAAAATTCTGATTGTGCCATCGGAAGCAAAGGCAATTTTAGCGCAAATGCCACCATCCTCCTCCTCCAGTGTGGCGGGTCATTGAAAGCTCTGCTAGGAGTTCACACATAACTTCACCTGGGAACAACAGCCTTGAGCCATTAAAAAAAAAAAAAAAAAAAAAAAAAAAAAGATCACTATGATTTCTCTCTCTCTCTTACTCACACATGCAAATATATACACATATGCAGATACTGGTGATTGCCCAGACAACAGCCATTTTCCACCTTCTTTCTTCAGTCAGAGTCTACCTCCCACAATGAGATATATGAGGAGGCACACATGGGTGTAATGGGAAAGTTTTTCCTCTTTGATCTCTCTTTCTTATATATACACACACACACACACACACACACCAGGAAAAGTAGCTGTACAACAGATGTTGTTTGGGGATATGATGCTTAGGCAGGTATAGCCATATTGAAATTCTAAAGGGAAAACCAGAACCCTGAAATCACTAGACCATTTTGCCAACTTTAGGACTGCTTAGCTTTGGATTTCTCATTAAACAATACAAATAAATCCTCACTGTTTAAGCCACCTTTAGTTGAGAATTCTGTTAATCCAAGCCAAGAGTATTCTAATTGATAAACATAAACACTGACTTTCTATACCAAGGAGCAGTGTCCATAGGACCTGGGGCTTTCTGAGCAGGGAAGAAGGCAGGTTTGCTGATGGATGACATTTTTTTTCCAATGTAACAATGGGGTGAGATCTGAAGTCAGTGTTTGAGTTAAATCTATATATGATGTAACTACTCTATGACGAGGAAAAACAGAACAAAATATGTACAATAAAGGAAACTTTATCTGCTGAAATGCTAGACCTGGAGGAACAGGAGTAGACTGCAAGGATTAAAGCCTTATAGAGTACCAGGCTGGAGTACTGCCTTGCCAGAGAGGCCTCTGAGCATTTAGCCTAAGGAGCTAAAGATATTTTTAAAATCTTTTTATGCTCTATTTTATTCAGTTAAAGAAAAATAAAGCCCCAAAGATAAAATACCCTAAGGAAATACATACTGTGTAAGATAAATAAGAAAACAGACAAATGGTGGGGTGTGTGCAGTACTTAATTTAGTGTAGGAAAGGAACACAGAGGCAATCTATGTCCAAACAAAAAAACAAAAATGCAGCAATTGCTAGCAAAGGATCTAAAATGAATTAAAAAGAGGTCTGTTATAGGAAGCCATCAAAATGGAGAAAGCAGGCAAAAACCTCTTTGATCTTGGCTGCAGCAACTTCTTACTCAACACGTCTCTGGAGGCAAGGGAAACAAAAACAAAAATGAACTACTGGGACCTCATCAAAATAAAAAGCTTCTGCACAGAGAAGGAAACAATCAGCAAAACTAAAAGGCAACCGACGGAATGGGAGAAGATATTTGCAAACAACATATCAGATAAAGGGTTAGTATCCAAAATCTATAAAGAATTTATCAAACAACACCCAAAAAACAAACAATCCGGTGAAGAAATGGGCAAAAGACATGAATAGACACTTCTCCAAAGAAGACATCCAGATGGCCAACTGACACATGAAAAAATGCTCCACATCACTTATCATCAGGGCAATACAAATCAAAACCACAATGAGATACCACCTTACACCTGTCAGAATGGCTCACATTAACAACTCAGGCAACAACAGATATTGGCGAGGATGCGGAGAAAGAGGATCTTGTTTGCACTGCTGGTGGGAATGCAAGCTGGTGCAGCCACTCTGGAAAACAGAGGTTCCTCAAAAAGCTAAAAATAGAACTACCCTATGACCCAGAAATTGCACTACTAGGCATTTATCCAAGGGATACAGGTGTGCTGTTTCGAAGGGACGCACACACCCCCGTGTTTATAGCAGCACTATCAACAATAGCCAAAGCATGGAAAGAGCCCAAATGCCCATTGATGGATGAGTGGATAAAGAAGATGTGGCATATATATACAATGGAGTATGACTCAGCAATCAAAAAGAATGAAAGCTTGCCATTTGCAACTATATGGATGGAATTGGAGGGTATTATGCTAAGTGAAATTAGTCAAAGACAAAAATCATATGATTTCACTCATATGAGGACTTTAAGAGACAAAACAGATGAACATAAGGGAAGGGAAACAAAAATCATATAAAAACAGGGAGGGAGACAAAACATAAGAGATTCATAAATATGAAGAACAGAGGGTTACTGGAGGGAGTGTGGGAGGGGGGAATGGGCTATGTGGGTAAGAGGCACTAAGGAATCTACCCCTGAAATCATTGTTGCACTATATGCTAACTAATTTGGATGTAAATTTAAAAAAATAAAAAATAAAATTTTAAAAAATTTAAAAATTAAAAAAAAAAAGGTCTGTTTTAGGTAGAAATGTGCATTGCTATGCACTGTTTGTTCACTGAAGGTGAGAGATACCAAACAACATAGATTCTTGAAATTTTTTGATGTACACATTAATTATAAACTCAGAGGCCTTCTGTTTGGGGGCCACTTGTAATGCTATACCCTGCAGTTAAGTCTTTACCATCCTTTATTTAACCTACAAGCATTTGTGTACCCTGGATGTAGAACATTCTATTAGATGCTCTGGAGAATCTTAAGATAGATCTCAAGGAACCCTCAGTTTGGGGATAATGCATAAGAAGGTAAAAAACAAGTGTTCATCCTTTAAACAAAGTATAAACAATGGTCTCATTGATGAGGAAAAGCAGCTATGAGTTATGACTTACAAGCATCCTTATCTCAGGATCTTCACTAAGCAACTATTAGATAAGCAAAGTTCATTAGATAAGCAAAGTTTTATCCCATACACACATGCCAATGATAAAGTTTAATTTATAAATTAGGGACAGTAAAAATTAACAATAGTACTAATAAAATAATGCAATTACAACACTGTGATAAAACTGTAATAAAAAAATAAAATAAGTAAAACTGTACATAAAATGGTAATAAAAGTTATGTGAATGTGGTTTCTCCCTCTCTCAAAATATGTTATTGTACTGTTCCCCCTTCTTATGATGATATGAGATGATAAAATGCCTAAATGATGAGATAAAGTGAGGTGAATGATGTAGGCATTGTGATGCAGCATTAGGCCACTATCACCCTCTGACAACGGGTAAGAAGGAGAATCATCTGCTTCTAGATCGTGGTTGATCTCGGGTAACTGAAACTGCAGAAAGCAAAACTATGGACAAAGGGAGACTACTGGATGTAGAAAGTACAAAACGTTGTTGAAAAAAATTAAGATCTGAACAAAAGGAGAGATGTTCGTGAATTCAGGAAGAACAGAATCTGATGTACCATCTAAACAATGGGGACTTTACCATTTTTTTCCCCATCTGATTCATCAACCTGAAGGAGAACCCAGAAATGGGCTTTGGCACAGGTACAGAGAACTCAGGTAGAAGTTCTCTATCTCAGGCTTGAGGAGAAAGAATGAGTTCAGATGACAGCCAGGGGCTCACAGGCACCACAACACTGAGGGATTGGAACTTTTGTCTCCAACTAGAAGAGCTGCTGTTCCAAGAGGACAATGTAAATAAATATCCATTGCTTGGCTCCGGACACAAGTATCATTGCAGAAAGTGTGCAGTAGGGCAGGGCAAATAAAGCCCCACCTTTCTAGAGAACTGGGTGGGGGGGTAGGGGGAAGCTACAGCAAACCCAAACGTAGTAGAGAGATCTTCAAGAAAGCAGAGCTTAGGAAAGCAACCCTATTAAGTAGATTATGAACTTCTAGCTCACTCCCAAGCTGCCCTTCCATGGATTTGATCCTAAACATTATACCAAAGTTTGAGAACTGAACTGAGAATTAAACCACAGCCAAGAGATGAGTAAACACTCACCAGGCAAATGGAAGTGGAAAAAACAAAAACAAAAACAAAAAAACCAGGGTACCAATCTTATATCCGACAAAACAGACATTCAAACAAAGATTATAACAAGAAACAGAGAAGGGCATTACATAATAAAGGGACCAATCCTAC